CGTGCCGTCCTTCAACGTCATCAACGGCGGCTCTCACGCCGGCAACAAGCTGGCGATGCAGGAGTTCATGATCCTCCCCGTGGGAGCCAGCTCCTTCAGCGAGGCCATGCAGATGGGGTGCGAGGTGTACCACCACCTCAAGTCCGTCATCAAGAAGCAGTACGGCCAGGACGCCACCAATGTCGGCGATGAGGGTGGCTTCGCCCCTGCCATCCAGGTATCTTATTCATGCTTGGTCGGCTGTCTTTTATTTCGACGGAATTTTGTAGGAACTTGGACTCCTTTCCATCTCCTACTTCATCTTCTTCGTGCACGATAATAAAATGCGAGGGATAATTTTTTTTGTCGATGTTGTGTGCGACAGGACAACAGGGAGGGTCTCGAGCTTCTCAAGACCGCCATTGAGAAGGCCGGCTACACTGGCAAGGTGACGAACGGGTTGGGAAATGGTTTCAGAATGGGTACATTAAAATCCTTGTTCAATTCCCATTATCTACGCATTTACAGACACGGGAAAAAACGTTCGAATGAATAATGTGTGAAATAAACACAACAGATCTACGTACACATCTGGTCATAAGAGAAACGGGATTTTCGAAGCTGCTTCTGATCTTTCGGTCTCACAACTGCTGTCTTTGCAGGTCAAGATTGGCATGGATGTTGCTGCCTCTGAGTTCTGGAAGGCCGACGACAAGACGTACGACCTGGACTTCAAGACCGAGAACAATGACGGCAGCAAGAAGCTGTCCGGACCTGCCCTTACGGCTCTGTATGAGGAGTTCTGCCGCGACTACCCCATGGTGTCCATCGAGGATCCCTTTGACCAGGATGACTTCGAGGCCTACCCCGTTCTCACCGCCAACATTGGCAAGGACGTGCAGATCGTCGGCGATGACCTGCTCGTCACCAACCCCAAGGTAACTCTGTGAACCAAAGTAACTTTGCCAGGGAAGCTGCTCTTTGTCCCCGTGTCTCCCTGGCATTGCTGCTGTTCGGTTTCAGCTTCACAACTCCTCCAATATCTATCTCTTCTCCTCGGCCTTGTGCAGCGTGTGCAAAAGTGCATTGACATCAAGGCTTGCAACGCTCTGCTGCTTAAGGTGAACCAGATCGGAACCGTCGCTGAGAGCATTGAGGCTGTGCGCATGTCCAAGAAGGCAGGCTGGGGCGTCATGGCCAGCCACCGCAGTGGCGAGACTGAGGACACCTTCATTGCTGATCTTGCTGTCGGCCTTGCCACTGTAAGTGGATTCTGCATGTATGTGCTTGCAGCGCAGTTGGGAGTTCTGTGTGCGATGCTCATTTGTTCTTACCCTCCTTTCCCATGATCTTACCCAATTCCAGGGCCAGATCAAGACTGGTGCTCCTTGCCGCTCTGAACGCCTTGCCAAGTACAACCAGGTTAGAAATCCTCCACCCCCACCCTCCGTTGAGAAAGTACCTTTCTGAAGTTGTCCATTTTTTCCTTACAACGTGGCCTCACTGAATCCTCCATTCACTGTTTTCACTTCGCAGCTGCTGCGCATTGAGGAGGAGCTTGGTGCCAATGCTGTGTATGCTGGAGAGAGCTTCCGCACCCCCTGCGAGCCCTATTAGATGCGCTTACGTAATGATAGCATCTTATACGCATGTGGAAGCATTGCATAGTTTGTAAGGAGTGCTGTACCATGCAAAAAGTAGCAAATACATGGCCATTTTGAGAAGCAATGTTGAGGGCGGGTCCAGCGCGTACGTTTTCAGGTACGATACAGTTCATTCGTCATGGTTTGAAAAGATATCAGGCAGTGCATAGCGGTTTTGAAATTGCACCGTTGTGAACCGTGACCCAGTACAGATTACCGTACCAGATAAACTGTAATGTACGGAAAACGTACGCGCTGTACTCGCCCTGAATACGGTACGTACACCTAGAACTTTCGTACGAAACCAGCGGTGCAGCGAGAAATTATATTTTTTAAACACACATGTAGTGTTTCTTAAAATTGTGTATCGTGAAAGCGAAGCTGCTTGTACTGCACAATTGGCATCGTCGAAGCGCGTTAACCATTCTCCAACTACAAAAACCGTGGGTCGGAGCTCATTTCCCTCCACCCACGTTTCTCAATTTTCAAACGGCTCACTCAACATTCCCACCACCCACCCCAGTGTAAACCGCCTTGCTAATGCCACTTGGATAGGGTACATAATAGCTAGTGTTATTAGTCCGCACTAGCTTATGTCGAACGATGATGCAAATGTTGTAATACGCCATTTGTAATGAGAACGATGCCCCTTGATAAGAAAGAAAGCAAGCTTTCTCAATATGATAATTTCGACACCAGAAGTTCACAAGCAGGAGGTCTGTCCCCCTTGAATTCTGCATAAGAATGTTCCCTTCAAGAACATCTGTCTGAAACCATCTGTGCATACCACCCATAATTTTTTATGATTTAATACCGCAACGAACTCTGATAAACAAGAAGGGAACATGCATGAAAGCAGCAGCTTGCATTGCAACCTGTTGCACACAGATATGTACCCCCTATTCCTCGATAACGTATGTACGCCATACAATGCCCACAAGTTCAGCTGCAAGCTCTCGGTCATGATGATCGGAGCTCAATATCATATCCTGCAAAAACCATGATTTATAAAAAACTCAGCAGCTTTTCCATGCCTAAAGACTTTATGCTTACCTGCACAAGTTTTTGACTCTGAGCTTGATCGAAGTCATCCACTATGTGGTTAAAAATGGCTAGCTTGGTCTTTTCTGCACCCACTCGATCAGCAATTTTTAGAACCTCAACCAGGGCTTCATCCTCAACCTCCATCTCGCATAACTTGGTGTCCATGATGCTCATCAATTCAGCAACATCATATTTGTGAGCAGCTTCGAGCACAGCAAGCCCATCCTGGTGGCAAAGCGCGAGCATGATGAACGAGAACATTTTTTCCATTGACGTACGGAAGTCATTATCGTCACAACTAGGTGTGCATACCTTAACTGACTCTGGAGAAAGATTGACATCAAAACCATACATAAAGGAAAGGAGCCGCCTCAATGTCGAGCCATCCATGTCATTTATTCTCACAACCGAATTCTTATTGCCATCCACCAATGAAGTGTCGAACATGGCTTTGAGCACAGGAGACCTAGGGAGGAGGAAACGATTGCAGATGTTAATTAACAAGAAGCAACGGATTGGTGCAAGCATAATCATTCATATGATTACCACATGGAGATAATGTTGCGATGTGCAGGAACCTTACTCCCATCAGATGCTTCAAAAATGACGTCACTGAATTCTGCTCGTTCGAATAAGTCTTTCAGCTTTACGACGTGACAGGGTGGATGCGTTTGCCTGCAAGATTCAGTAAATAATAGCTGTTTTCAGTAATGAAGGAATCCATGGACAACGTTAATACGACGCCAAAAAGCAGGGGTAAATGATTTAATATATGAGGTGCTTAAAACAAAGTTAGTAAGCCCGAGTTGGATCATCTCCCAAACGTATTCTCCTGATGCAACTTGCATCTTATGGCCACATGGCGTTAAGCCGTGTGATTTTTAAGATAGAACAATGGAACAAACGTAGGTGTTTGGTAAACCAACGTCGGCCTAATTGGTGATGACATCCAGTCATCCGTCAACTTGATTTATAGTTCGAGTGGGTACTCATTCTGGTACTATACACGAAAGAGTACGTGAGAGATGAATTCTCGATAACGGCTTACATAGTATCCTCCGTTGACATGCTGAGGTTGGAAACTGCGTAGTTTGGGGCCTCTCAGACTATGACACGCCAAGAAAGCAGAGAATATGTGGGATGAAACGCGAAACCCTGAGTAAGGTGGAGTTCAGACTACGGTTTCCAGCTCCTTTCTGAAGGTGGAAAATATGACAAATATTAGATATCGGCTGTTTGCAATCACCTCGTAAAATGAATGATACATATTTGAGCGGAGAGTTCGCTGGCACCTGGAACCTTGGGATTGTGATGACTCGCGAGCCAGGAAGCGAAAGTGCAAGCCTGAAATCTGGGCCACTGGCGCCTGGAACCTCAAGGTGATGGCACGACCGAGGAAGCTGATGTGCGAGGAAGTGAAAGCCCAAGGCCGACCTGGGCAGCTGTCTCCGAAACGATGTCCAGTGGCCAACGAGGTTGGCGGAGGTACTGGGTTCTCCAAATTCGCATACAGTCAATTTTGACTTTTTCCGTTTTCGTATATGTAGGTTCGGCATATATGCGGTAACCGCATGGACTGCTATTCGATGGGATAGGTTTCGCGCCAGCGCCATTATACGGTTTCGCCGAGATTCGTGGTTGTTCTCTCCGTTTTTGGCTGGCCGTTGCCTCGGCGTGGCGATCAAAATCTGGTTCGGACAGCCTGTCGCGTCGCAGTTCACCAAAAATACCGAGTCGCGGATTGCTGCTGCAGGCCCATGGAAGGAAGGAAGGGGTGGAGAAATTTGACGCTGAGGAGAGGGGAGGTAAATACAGATACAAAGGCGTATTCCTAGATTCGGGATGTCCGTGGTCGGGGTCTTCCGAAAATTTTGATAGCCAATAAAAAATCCCGCGGTTCGAGATTTGTTTTTTTTTTTATTGGAGTACACAAATTTTCCGTAGACATGAAAACGGGATGACCCGAAGCCGGGAATGCGCCCGAGATAGATGAGCTTGAGCTCGGCAGGAGTCTTCAGCCTAGCACCATTCTTTAGTTTCCAACTACGCTCCGACGTCTATGACAGTCGTGGTTTGGGGCAGAGCGTTGGACAAAAACCTGCCTGTTTCCACCCTGGTCCTTCTGGATTAAGTTACGGTTAGGTTACTGTGAAACGTGATCCGTCTTCCCATATCTGTTTCCGCACAGAAGTGAAATAGTTCTGTGCGCACCACAAGCACTTGCACTCACCCAGGCATAGCATGCGCCAACCTTGCTAAGAAACGCTCTTCTCTTCCACTAATTGGAGACATTTACTACCTTTCCTAGTGCCTTGCAGCTAGCCTCGCTTATCCATGCCCGCTGCCATGCAGCCTCAACTCCCCAAGCTGCTCTTGCTCTCCGTAGCGCTTCTCGTCCCTCTCCTGCTCTCCGCGCGTCATCACGTAGCGGCGTGTGCGGGCGCGGAGCGTCGCGTGCTGGTGGAGAATGCGACGGCGTCGCAGGTGCATGACGAGGTCCTGCGACTCAAGGAGACGCTCGCACGCGTGTCGCAGTACTCGCTGGCCCTCGCCGGCATCCACGCCATCTGTGAGTGAAGGCGAGATGGCATGGTATGGTACGGTACGGCATGATACGGTACGAGGCGATGCACTTCGATGAGACGCAGTACGAGGCGTGGTACGGGATAAGAGCGGTGTATAGAGCATTGTCGTGAGCTGATGCTGCGAATGGCGGCAACACCGTCCTCGTCCCTTCGAGTCTACCCCCAATAGCCTTCATCCTGTTTCTGGTCGTCACAGTACTCACTTCCCTTGCAATTCTTATCGACACTCTGACGAAATCCTTTCCAGTCTCCAATTTCCAGCCTCTCTCCTCCAACCTCCCATCCGAACCTCCATAATTATTTCTCCTTTCTTCCTATTCGCTCATCTTCCGCTCTCCCTTCCCGTCTCCTCCTCCTTCCCCATCCGCACCCCGTCCCCCTCCCTTTTCTTCCACGCTCCTCGCCCGCATCAGGGAACGATCCGGCCGTCGACTTCCGCGTGTTGCTCGACACGACGCTCCTAATTCCCACCGACTCCGCGCTTCTCTCCGCGGAGATCAATACCAGCAACGTCACCTACGCTGACGTCGAGGCGGTGCTTCAAATGCACGTCATGCCGCGCCGCCGGGCGTACAGCAAGGTTGAGTGCGGTGAGCCCATGCCGTTCCTGCTCACGCCCGCTAACTGGACCTGGCCGACGCTCGGCGGGGTGCCTCTAACGAGGATAGTTCCGCCGAGCGATTGTGTCAAGCTCTCCCCGACGTTTGCATCGAGCGATTACTACGCAGCTGAGATGGTTAATCCGAGTCTGTTTGTAGGGAAGTATTTCACAGCACACGGCGTGGATAAGGTGCTCCAGCAGCCGTACTACTGATCAGAGCAGATAGTCTATGGTTACGCCTCAGAAGCGGGAAGCGGGAAGCGGGACGCGGAAAAGGGGGAGACGAGATGGCACGAGGGGAAAGGAAACGAGACGAGACGAGACGAGGAGGAACGTGTTATGAGACGTTAGACATTCTGGGAAGTGGAATTGGAGAGTTCAGAAGCGAGGGGCTGGAGGGACGAAGGTTGGCAAGGAGGAAATGAGGTTTGTTCTGTGGGCCTGAGAAGGGAGGAGGGGCAAGACGGGATATGGGAGGTGCTGCTGTGTGTATGGGGAGGGCATACGGATGGCGCACCATTGGTTCTGTTCCATCCCATTCCATCCCATCCCATCCCCTCCCTTCCATCCCATCCCCTCCCACACCATCACATCACTTACATCACGACCTCCCTCCAAGCCTCTTCAAGCCCAAGCAGAGTACACCTTCAGTTTGCTGGGAAGCATGTGATGTAGTAAAAGTGCCTGCCAGCACAGCACTCTAGATTAGTAGCCTAGTAATAGTGTCACAACGGAGTGACAAGCTAACCAGAACTTTAGCTAGTAACCTAGGAGCCTAGTGGTAGCCTAGTATCCTTCCGGGATGTTTACTATTACCGTTTGTTCTGCAGGCTGTTGTTACCAGAATCAGTAACCGGTACGTAGGGGTTGGGTTGGGTTGTGTCATGTAACTTTTGGACACCTGATGTAACATGGCGGGTGCTGCCAAACTCTCCTTTTTGCGCCGACTAGTTAATAGAATGACGCACATGAAAAGAAGGCTCAAATTTGACTTGTATGTATACTTGCTCATCTGTGGGCCAATCCTGATTCTGCTCGGATGATGGAACCCACTACAACCCCACCCTACCGTTCTCAACGTGCACCTCCTCCCCATCATCTCTCTCCTGAACCTCCAATTGCATGCGCCGAGACAAAGAGCGAGGGAGAGACGGGGAGCCTGAAGACAGAGGCGTGGAGAGCGGCGCAGAGGGGTGAGGTCTGAGAGAGCGGTGCGGCAAGCGGAAGGAGTGCATGGTGCTGCCATTAGCAGCAATGAATGTGAAGTCCTGTGAGGTTTGGGACACGATAGGGGGTGAAGATAGGAGGATAGGATAGAAAAATAGGTAAAAGGGATTTGAAAAGGGGTCAGGAGGGCAGGTAGAAGGTCTGCTTGGTCCGTTAGGAGGTCTGCCATATGCAGCATAAGGGGGGAAGTAGCAGTATTGGAGAGCTAAGGGCATGTTTGCGACATAGGGGGGATTGAAATGCTCGCACATAACAATCTACACTATACATGCAACCAGCATACCACCCAGCATACCGTATCACCCCGCATACCACCCACCATACCACCCACCATACCACCCACCATCCCACCCACCACCCCACCGCCCATACCACCAAGCATACCAGGCAGTCGCGAGTGGCAGCGTGCTTGAGAAAGCCAAAGAAGGAAGAATCGGCCCACACTGTGTCGCCCGTGGGGTGCACCCAGTGCCTCTTGTACCCCCCCACGCCGTTACCCACATGCACCACTCCGCACCGCTCTAAATGCTGCGCGACGTGGTCGTGGCCAAAGAGATAGACGTCCTGTGGAGTGGGCATGGGGGGGAGGGGGGCGGGGGAGAAAGGGGGGGAGGAAGAGAGGATGAGGATGAGGAGGAGGAGGAGGAGGAGGAGGAGGAGGAGGAGGAGGAGGAGGAGGAGGAGGAGGAGGAGGAGGAGGAGGAGGAGGAGGAGGAGGAGGAGGGTGTTGTGAAAGAGTGAGGAGGAAAACAAGGAAACCAGGTGAAGGCAGGCATGGGGAGAGAGCGAGGAAGGAGTGAGAAAGAGGAATCATTTGTTTGGCCTGAGTGTTGATAGCAGATGGCAGCAAGCACCTGCTATCAGCAGCAGCACCTGCGAACAACAGCACACAGTAGAGTTCATGGGTAGAGGTAGAGGCCCACCACTTGGTACTTGTGCAGCAGTGGCAGCAGCATTTTGAGACGTCTCAAAAGCGGCATCGCTATCAACAGCACACAGTAACAGTACACACAGGTGGAAACCCACCACTTGGTACTTGTGCAGCAGTGGCAGAAGAAGGGAGGAGAAGCGGGGCTCAGCAGGAAAGCGAGGCCGCACGCCTGCTGTGATGATGGGGCGATGACCCACCACCACTTTCCTGGGCGATGGGTGAGCGTGAGCATGGGCAGAGGGTCAGGGCAGGGGTCAGAGCAGAAGCAGGGGGCAGGGCGTGAGAAGGTAAGATCACAAGAGGGGAAAGGCGAGAAGCTTGCTAAGGGAAGGGGAGAGGGGATGAGGATGAGAGAAGGTAGCATGCGTGAGGGAGTAGGGACATGTGAAGGTTGTGGTAAGGAATGGCAATGCCGTCCTCCTGGCAATGCCGTCCTCCTGGCAATGGCTTTCCAGTGAGGTCAGAAGTCTCCTACCCCTTATTTTCCGTCTCTTCAACCGCCCTTTAAAAAACGCAAAAGCTCTCTAAAAAAATAAAAGTGCATTCTTCCCATCTGATCCAACGTGTTGCTGTGTCTTGACAGGTCTCGTTGACAGGTCTTGAGCCTCGCCCCATTACCAATCCCATTCCCCGTTCATCCCCCATCCCTCCATCTTCTATCCCTCTCCCACCCCTCCATCTTCCATCTATTTCCCACCCCTCCATCTTCCATCCCTCTCCCACCCCTGCATCCTCCATCCATCCCTCACCCATAACTCCTGCCACCCTGCCCCTCTCACCATCGGGCTGTGCTTTGTGTGATAAGCCAAGTTTTTCTGCCCCTCTCAAAACTGCCCCTCTCACCATCGGGCTGTGCTTTTCTGAAGCTGTGCTTCCAGCCACTGCAGCTGCTGCCTGCCTGCCTGCACACATGCATGCATGCATACATGCAGATAAGGTCCATGGGGAGTGCGGGGATGGAGTGAAGTTAGATGAGCACAAGCGAGGGGAAGGAGCACAGTGTGTGTGTGTGTGTGTGTGTGTGTGTGTGTGTGTGTGTGTGTGTGTGTGTGTGTGTGTGTGTCTGTCTGTCTGCGCGCACGCGCGCACGAGCGAAACGGCACAGTTGGTGGCCTGCACCTGTTGGCCCATGAGATGAAGGGAGTGGTTACTTTTGAGTTTTGTCAAAAGTGACTCAGACGTGCACCTGAGGCCCGACGAGGTCTAGCGAGTAGTTAGAAAAGAAGCACCGGTCATTGTCATTGGACGCTCCCAGCACTCCCTGCCCCGCTCACATGCACACACACACGCTCGCACGCACGCACGCTCACACACATGCTCGCACGCACCTGTGGGCCGACGAGGTCAAGAGAATAGTTGGAGAAGAAGCGCCGGTCATTGTCATTGGACGCTCCCAGCACTCCCTGCCATGCTCCCATGCACAGTGCACAACATGCACGCACAACACGCACGCACGCACGCACGCACAAGTGCAGACACATGAACGCACACACAAAGACACAAGAGCACAATAAGGAGAAGGCAATGGGGATTGAAAAAGAGAATCAGGAAAGGAGAAGGGAGAAGGGAGAAGGGAGAAGGGAGAAGGGAGAAGGGAGAAAGGAGAAGGGAGAAGAGAGAAGTAGTATGAGGGAGGAATGAGTTGAGGCGCTTCGAGGCCTATGGATTTGGGATGAAAAGAGTCAATGTGCTCCTCTGTGCCTCAGAGAATAGCGGCAGAACGAAAGACAGTCAAGGAAGCGAGTGAGTGAGTGAGCGAGGGAGGGACGGAGGGAGGGATGGTGGGAGGGAGGAAGGAAGGGAGGGAGGGAGAAAGAGAGGGGAGGGAACCAGCAAGGGGGGGAGGTGAAGCAGCGAAGGATACAAGGGTTGAGCGAGAGGAAGGAAGGCATTAGCCGAGAGAGGCACCTCGAGGCCGATGGAGTTGGTAAAAAAGAAGTCAATATGCTCCTCTGTGTCTCCCCCACTACTACCATCACCGCCATCACCGCTGCCGCCCTCTCCCCCTCCCCCTCCCACTCTTGCTCCCCCTGCCTCTCCCGCTTCTACCCCATCCGCCCCCGCTTCTCCCCCTCCTCCTCCTCCGGAATCCCCTGTGCCGGTGGTAGCAGGGCGAGCGCGGGGCAGCGGCAGGGAGAGGGAGTAGTAGGGCGCGGGGAGGTACCACTTGGAGGAGGCGTGAGAGTGAGCCACCTGCGCTGCCACGCTGCCCTTGTTGTCGTGATCGCCCAGCGACATGTACCTGTGTGAGGGGGAGAAGGGAGAATGGGGGGCGATTTGGAAGGGGGTGGGGGGAGGGAAAAGGGGGAGAGGCTTGAGTTGACTAACAAACAGCCACACTGCCCATGTTGCCCTATATCAACACCTGAGGCGCCACAGAAAAAACCTGACGATCACGCTTGCAGCACTGGTTGGAAGACTGCGCTGTGTGTGTACAAAAAGGAACTCACATCACAACTCACCATCAACACAGTCAACCACAGAGTGGAAGAGCGAGTCTGACTGTCTTTTGCGAGTCTGCAAGTGCCTCGAAAAGGAACTCACCATCGCACTTGCAGCGCAGGGTGCGTGTACACGCCTTCAAACACGCGGTGGAAGAGCGGGTCTGCCTCCCCCGTGACCCCGTTGTCATACACGTTGTCCCCCACTGACACCACAAAGCGCACCCCCGCTGCCTCCGCCACCGCCCCCATCTGCAAGAGGGGGAACGTGCAGCAGGGTGGAAGGAGGGGAGTAGCACAAGAGGGAAAAGGGGACCAGAAGAGAGGCAAAGTGCGTGGGGTGTTGAGCGGAGTGCATGTGACGCAGGAGCAGGACTAGGGAGCGAAGAGAGAGGGGAGCGGTAGTGTGGGGAATGGACAGGGCAAGGGTTCAGGTGGTGGGGGCAGATGGGAGGCTGACCAAACCAGGGGATAGGATCAGACAGCACATATCAAAAAGAAGGGCAAAGATGAGCTTGTATTACTTTATTAACACTCCTGTCTCAGCAATATTCATCATCCTGTCACCGCTACAACACCCCAATCCCCCCATGCCCACTCCATGTCCCCCCATCTCTCCCTCTCATCACCATTCCATTTCCCAACTTCCCTTTCCCTTCACCCCCACTCACCTCCACCCCTTAACTACCTACTACTTGCCCACTCTCTCACCTGTGCCGCCACAGCTTTTTGAGAGTCGTTCGCGTTTCCGAAATCCCCGATCGACAGGAACACCATAGATCCAGACTCTCCGTCTGCTGATCTTCCATCTCCATCCCCCGGTAAAGGAACGCTAACTCGCTCATTAATATCACACCCGCCACTGCCGCCAACTGCCACAAGAACCTCCCCAGGCAAGCCTCCCCCGCGCGCCTCTTCCGCCACCACCCAGTCCGCGCGCGCCCCCCACCCCCCCGCCGCGCCCGCCAGCGCGGCGCATATCCCCGTTATAAGCAGGAACAGGAGCGCGACGACTGCACATTTGGTGCCGAGAAACGCGCGCGGGTGGAGCAAGCGGCGGAGAAACAGCGACGCCTGGAGGCGCATCTGCTGCAGCATCGGCGGGGCCCGGCGCTGCGGGGAGTGGAGCGGAGCGCCGACGTCGCCGCTGCCGCTGCCTCCGCCGCCGCCGCCGCCAACGCCGGCGGAAGCGGAGCCTTCTTCGAGTCGAATCGGATCTGACGCGAGAGTGTGGTCAGGTATTTGATCGATGTGCTGTCGGCTGCTCGTACGCTGCATGTGCTTCTAACGAGAGGTCAACTGCTGTGAGGAGGTGGTAGGGAATGTGACACAAACGAAGTGGTCAGCACATCATGGCCGTCGTGCTGCTTGGGCGGTCGGATCAAAACGGACGTGCGTGTAACGAAGGATCGGGACGCGCAAGCGACATGTTTTGAGAGGCTACGAGAAAGTGATCGGCGACACGATCGCGGCCGAGCAGCCTTGCTGACCTACTCGGGCGAGGAAACCAGCAGGCGGAACGAAGCGAAATAGACCGGAACGGACCGGAACGAACCGAGAGGGCCGAAACGGAGCTTAGTGTCCACCTCTGACTGTGTCAACGCAGTGATTGTCGACCGTGGTTTGTGAACTAGGCAGCAAGAACTGCTGTGACGCTGAAGAACATGATAAGTTCCAAATAGAGTAGTCTAGCTCGTGCGCATCTATCAAGGCTAGGCGTCCGGTAGCTATTCTACTCTGTGGGAGGAGGGAAGGGGGGGTCAGACAATTTACCTTCAGATTTGTTTGACGCGGTTTTATACGGTCCACCACGTTTGAAGATGGTTCTTTCAGAAGAACGAAACTCTCGAAGCCAATGGTCCGTCCCCAGTTTCCGGGAGTTTGTTTCTTGTGTGCAAGTGCCGCTGTTGCTCGCTATGGTCTGGGATAGGCGAACTTACATCAAAACAAGCTAGAGCGAGATAGTTCCGTCTTTCGCCAGTTTCCTGGTGGGAGGCGCAAACATCCTCAGTCTGACCAATCAACAACCACAATCAGCCCCTCATGAGCTGTACGCTTCATTGGATTGGACAGTAACCAGTTGCTACAGAGAATCTTAATCTACAGATAACCGCAATATGTGAGCAAGATATCATCGTATTATACAAATGTCTTTGCTAAAACGTGTTTGGTCTAAACCATGCCTTCACTCTGTCGAATTCTTTATTATTTTCTGATTTACACACAAAAATCATTGGGAAATAATTCCGTTAATTTCCAACATGTATGGAGGTAGATCAAGCATGTTTCTTATATGCTAATCATTTTTTTACCTTCAATCTATCATCACGTATAAACAAACATTCTACTCATCGAGCCAGCTAAGGCGGGATACAGTGTACTGAACGACTAGGTGCGATGGAAACCCCGAGTGCTCTCTGCCACAGAGCAAATTTGTGGCTTTTCGCGTGCTCCCGCCTTGTTCGCGAACCAACATCTAGAAGTTCAGCCTTCCCACGACGAATGTCTCCCTGACGATCTAGAAATCATCAATTCGCGAGAGGTGCCTTCTACCGTTATCTCTTCCGATTGGCGAATCCGATCCTTATTGCCACGTCAACATTTCTGGTCCGTTAGATGAATTCGCAATTTCTCACAATTGGCTGCTTCATCCGTCCGCTTCGTTATCCGATTACCTTGGAATTTCCTACGCCAGGCTTCCGCCCATTCCCGCCCATTCCCCCCTCCTCCATCCGAGGAAGCGCCGAGCATGAATTTTTGCTCTCACACACCCCACTTGGGGCGCGCTAGGTTTCCGCTCGTACTCCGCATTCACCCCATCCACTCCGCCCTCTCAATCCCGCTTGCGCGCCTCCCCCAGCAGCCTCCCTCCATTCACCACCTCGCAGCCCACTCACTCTCTATCACATCACATTCTGTGATCTCCTTGCTCTGTCAGACCAGCGTTTCTAAGCTTTCTCCTTGGCTGAAGTCTGCCGCTGCTTCTCGCATTCACCAAGTCGCACGCGAGTCTCAGTTCCCCACACCAGGCTTTAGCCATGGCGCACGCTGTCGCTACCTCCTCTTTCACCGCGGCTCTGGCCCCGTCCTCTGGGTCCTTCGCCGCTGCCGTGCAGAGGAAGACCGTGACTTTGAGGACCGTCCCGTGCGCAGCGGTCAGGCGGTGCAATGTCACCGCGAGCCTTTCCCCGATTGAAAAGCAGGTGTCCGCGGAGGAGATTCTTTCCAACGTTGACACTCAGAAGACCGTCGCTGCTTCCATGGCCGGTTCCATCTTCGCCCTCCTTTCCAACGTCGGCTCCGCCGCCGCTGTTCAGGAAATCGCCTCGATCGCTGACTCGGACAACCGCGCCGGCTCCCTTCTCATTGTCCTCCTCCCTGCTCTCGGCTGGGTGCTTTTCAACATCCTCAGGCCCGCCCTGAACCAGCTTGACAAGATGAAGGGCAAGAAGGGCGTTGCTGCCGCTCTTGGCCTTGGTGCTGCTGGTCTCCTCGCTGCCCCCCACGCCGAGGCCGCTCAGCAAATCGCGGAGCTCGCTGACTCCGATAACCGCGCCGGAGCCCTTCTCATTGTCCTCCTCCCCGCTCTCGGCTGGGTGCTCTTCAACATCCTCAAGCCCGCTCAGAACCAGCTCAAGAAGATGCAGGGCAAGAGCGTTGTTGGCGCGGTTGGCCTTGGTGCTGCTGGTATGCTCCTCGCTCCCCACGCGGAGGCTGCTCAGCAAATCGCGGAGCTCGCTGATTCCGACAACCGCGCCGGAGCTCTTCTCATCGTCCTCCTCCCCGCTCTCGGCTGGGTGCTCTTCAACATCCTCAAGCCCGCTCTGAACCAGCTCAAGAAGATGCAGGGCAAGAGCGTTGTTGGCGCGGTTGGCCTTGGTGCTGCTGGTATGCTTCTTGCTCCCCACGCGGAGGCTGCCCAGCAAATCGCGGAGCTCGCTGATTCCGACAACCGCGCCGGAGCTCTTCTCATCGTCCTCCTCCCCGCTCTCGGCTGGGTGCTCTTCAACATCCTCAAGCCCGCTCAAAACCAGCTCAAGAAGATGCAGGGCAAGAGCGTTGTTGGCGCAATTGGCCTTGGTGCCGCTGGTATGCTCCTCGCTCCCCACGCGGAGGCCGCTCAGCAAATCGCGGAGCTCGCTGACTCCGACAACCGCGCCGGTTCCCTTCTTATTGTCCTCCTCCCTGCCCTTGGGTGGGTGCTTTTCAACATCTTGAGGCCAGCCCTGAACCAGCTGGATAAGATGAAGGGCAAGTAAATTTGTGTGTAGTCCTTTTTTTGGTTTTACTGTGCAAGAAAGTTGGACATATTTGACAATTTTGACTTGCGATTGGCAGTTAAGTGTTACTTGAACCTTACGAGCGTTCCAGAATGCACCCTGTCTTTAGGGGTTTAAATGTATACCTCGAGGTTTAAATGTAAACCTCGAGGTAGTGGCATTTGTATTTAGGGTGTGTTCCTGTGGTGACACTTGTGTCTCAATCCTTTTGTGACACGTAAAACCAGCTTATAACGTACAATGTTACAAACGCGTGTCGCCCCTGTGCGATTTTAAATGTATTTTTCATTTGTCAGCGTGAAACGCGCTGATGTCGCGGACGAGTTGCGTATCGACCCGTCATTGTCAACAACTCTGTACGCGGTTCGAAATGTCAATGCACCTGGGCATTCCACAGTAAAATTCTCGCGCGGGAAAAAGTTCCGCTCGTCAAAACCCCACCCGAACCAGACAGTTGAAGAAGCAGGTGTTCAGTCAAGTTTGAAATCCAATCAAATGAGCACAGCTGTAAATTTCGCCTGGTCGCACAGTTTCGTGATACACTCATTTTTTGTGACGCGAGATTGCAAAAATGTGTAGACGCGACTCGGTAAAAAAGGGGATTGAGACACAAGTGTCTCCACAGGAACGCACCCTTAGATCCGAGTTTTTTCCTCTAGTCTGGCCCAAACAAATCTGAGATGGCTTCTAGAAAGCAGTATCTTATGCTGGTTTAGCCTGTAGGTTAAAACCCGTGGATCAAGAAGGCCAAAACTGCCTCATCCTTCCTAACGTTGGTTGGGTGTCCCAAAAACGCTTGTGCTGATTCCCGAGTTCGATGACCTAGGCCAACATTTTTTATGCTCCTATTGGTTCACGGGAGAATACCGTCCTGACTCCCAACCAACCTTCCTAAGCTCGAATAGCTTGGCCTGCGGGTTTTAAAGCTGTTGCCTACATACTCCCTGCGGGACCAAATGCGCAAGCCCTTCTGATATTTTGTCAGTCGTTTCTAATACGAGGGCCCAAGTTGGATTGGATTGTAGTGTTTATTCTGAAATGTACCAGAAAATAACAAGCTGCGCAAAACATATGAAGTGTGTACAGGTACGGTATTGCGATCTTGAGCACGTGCCAACAAACACGAAAATACTATGTTCTCTAGCCTAACTTTACAGTATGAACATACGTTAATAGGTAGTTGCCTTGCCACCATGGTCAGTGGATTACTGCGTAATTGTGTCAACATGAGCCTGACATAGCCAGTATCCGACGCCCCCCCTGATTGCTCCGCAGTCCACATTCACTCTCGGCTCTGTAGCTTGCGAATCGCATACTCGGGTTGTACACTTGAAAAGAAGACGGTTTATTGATAGTTGAGAAGGACCGGGTACGTGAACCAGGCAGAGTAGTGGCCACCGAGGCTGCTTCGACGGCGGGATTGGTGACGACCCGTGGAGGGATAGTGCGAACACGGACGACTGGGTTGAAAGTTACACGGCGAGTGCGTTTGGGTTT